TAAGTTTTTCATCAAAAGAGACTAACAAAATCCTGAGGTTGAAGTTTTCAGAATCAATGAATCTCCAGCTTCATAACAATGTGCAAATAATGGCTGACATCCCTAAGGTATATTTGGAAATCTACCCTTACAGGAGGCAAATCTGCCAACCAGATTTTGGATTTCACTTAATTAATTGTCTCTTTAAGATAATAGATTTGAGCATCAGAAGCCTTTTCGATGACACCCTCAAGTTTTACCATCTGCACAAAAGCAACCAAGCAATCTCTCACTCCACCCTTTGCTGAATTTCACCAAATGTCCTTTCAGAGAAATCAGCACAAAAAGAAGGGGAGCAACCCTTTCATTCCTTCCAGTGGGTCATGACTCAGAACCCAGCTACATTTGGCTATAACTGGGTCACAAACTGTGACTGCTGGCACCTACTGGTCAGGATAAGGACTATGCTTCCTATCAACCAATCAGCTTAATGAACCTTCAACCACAACCTCTGACAAATTTGAGAATTTAGAGTTGACTGAACTCATTCAGAGAACAAATAAACCCAACAGTAAATTGATGATGACTAATTGTGTAAAATTATAACTCTGTTGCAGAAACAAAGGCTGCATCCTCAAAAAGGTCTGTGCACATGATCCTAATTAATATGTATCGTAGCCAAATGAACACACACCTGATGTGTGCTTCAGGCAAATTGTGTCTGTTACTCTACACCTTCTGGCTAATTCAATCACAGTTTACATAGATTCAAATGTGTGCAGGCATTCAAATATTTACTGCAGTCAAATAGAGGCCACTTGAAATGCTATTAAACAAACTGTGCTTGTATTTAAAGCAGGAAGACAAAGAGGAACAAAAGGTGGGTAAATAACCTCCTGGATCTCACAGCAACTGTCTGATGTGGTTCGGGGGGGGGGGGGGGGGGGGGGGGGGGCAAACATGCACTTATTAATTAGGAAAGATTGTTTTAGAAGGTGTGAGATGAGTCACGATCTGTATTTAGACCAGTCAGGGAAGCTTCACAGCAGCAATGACCTTCCTTCACACTGCTTAGGCTTGGTGGGTCAGATTGTACAAATCAACCGGAAGGGCTTTGAAGTGTCAGTGTTGCTGACTGTGGGGGGGGGGGGGGGGGGGGGGGGGGGGGGCTTCGTGCGCTCCGTCTACCAGCGCTTTTCCACAAGCCCCATGCACAACTGAACTGCAATGAGCGCTTTCATTTCTGGGACAGTTACATCGTACCAGTCATCATACCTGGAGTTAGATTTCAGTTCCTCCCTCTCTAAATACTGGTGAGCATATCGGTTAGTTTCAGTTGTGATGAGGGTCCAGAATTCCTCATCCAAAAAAACTGACAGAAAATCAATGTGTTCTGAATTTGACAGATCCCTGTCTCCACTGGCTCATCAAAATGCCTGATCCACTTGGAATACTGTTCCTCTTCTCCCAAACTAACCCAGCCATCATCATTAGTATTGTCACTGAGGCTGTGTTGGGCCACCCTCCTGCTAGCAGTGATGTTCTTCCCACGGTTCCTCCCCCTCCTGCTGCAATTCCCACAGTTTACACCCCCGGGGCTGAATCAATCACCAGTGGAGTTTTCACGGCCCATCACTGCCACCACATCCCCCCACCCAGCACGGTGGAGCGAAGGATCAGACCCGGTACGAGCTGCGCCCCAACCCCCACCCCCCCACCCCCCCATGTCTCTTTCCCTGACCACGGACACGGTGACGCGGAACATCGGACAAGGTAAGGGCTGGATGGGCTGCTTGTGTAACCGCGTCATCGCTGACAGACTCCCTGTTGCTGCGCGCTGAAGCCACGCTTTCCGTCTTGCTAGAAGACCGCAGATCATCCTCGGAGAGGAAATATTCTTCCTCCGAATCCGAATCTGCCAGTACTACACAAAGAGCTTCGTCAGCACTGAACATTCCTCTCTGCATTGTTTTTATTTCTCTACCACTCGCTCGCTCTCACTCGCTCTGACAACCTCCGCGACTTCTTCAGTCACGGGTAAATAAACATTCATATTGTCGGACTTTTTCTGTAATGCAATCTTCAATCTGTTCTGGGTCGGCCACTAGATATCTTTTTACTTTTTAACAGGGCAACGGCAGCGCTGGTGATGAATATATGGGAAGCGACATCTTGACCAATCACAAGCTTGCAGTTGCCGTCACTTTTGACAGATGTTTAAAATTTTGGGCATTTCTCCGTCACCCTCTGTGAGCCCGTCGAAGAGCCCTTGCGCCGCGGCAAAATGGCGTTGTGTGTCTCGTACCGATACAGACGGATAAGTATAAATCAGGCTTAAGGTTGGAGTCACCAGGCAGGATGTTGAGAGGAAAACCAAAAAGGAGATTTCTAAATGTAGTGGAAGAGGACATGAAGTTAGCTGGTCTGCAGGTAGAGGATGCAGAGGACAGGACTAAAGGGAAACAGATGATTGGCTGTGGTTACTCCTGAAGGTACAAGCCTGGAGAAAAAAAGATTTTTCTCATCACACTATATCACAAATAGATTTGGAAATGATAAAGAAGCCTAAAAATATGTTAATAACACATGGCTTTTAGTTCAACTTGAATCTATTCTAGATGGAAGGTCAGTAGTGTACGCATGACAAAACTTGGTCTGAGCCTCGCCCTCACCTGGAGACTGTTCCGTCACTTTCAGTCTCTCAACTTAGACCATTAGTTGTAGCGTTTGTGTATTTTTTGGATATTTTTTGTGCAATTGTTGGACTTGCTGTGGCATTAATTGCACTATTAAAGTGTTCAAGGAGTCTCCACTTCATTTTTTTCGGTAAGTAAAATTATATTTATGTATTTTAGGTCACTGCCGAGCTGAGCTTAGATTTTAACATGTACTGTTTAACCATGAAATTTAAATGTAATAGGGTAAAACCCAGTGCATTTAACATTATGCTGCACTTTAGAAAATGGGTTGAAATATAACATGTTGGTGCAGCTGGGTTCCGACTATCGGCTTGTGGAGCTCTCGAGAGACCGATGTTTTCCACCCGCTTCTCCCCTCCCCGCAGCTCGGTGCATCTCTGTCTGATCACGGCTTCTGTCTGCTGCGTGGGCTGCCGGCTTGTGAAGCTCTGGGATAGAAACCTTTCCACCCGGTTCTCCCCAGCGGCAGCTCTGCGCATCTCAGATCGCAGCGGCGCTTGTCTGCTGTGCGGCTGCCGGCTTGTGGAGATCTCGGGAGACCTCTGTGTTCCACCCGGTTTTACCCAGCGGTCAGCCCGGCGTATCTCTGCGGCTGCCGGCTTGTGGAGCTCTCGAACGGAAACCAATGTTTTCCACCCGGTTCTCCCATCCCCACAGCTCGGCGGATCTCTGTCTGATCGCGACTCCTGTCTGCTGCGCGGGCTGCTGAATCTAGTTTTGATTCCTAGAATGTCGACCGGAAGAGGAATCCGCGGCTGATCTCCGTGAAAAATAAACATGATCTGTAAATTGTGATCAGCGCTTTTCAGAGCTAATCACACCAGCTGTCTGTGTGCAGCACAAGTCCCCCCTCCCCCACCCCGCACGCAGCAACCAAATATAAAAAAAAACGCGTCTGCCGAACTTAGCAAAAAATGCGCCGGAGAGGAAACTTGCTAAAAGACGTCAACACGGTGGATTTAATAGAAGCTTTAAAGAACAAACTCTGGACGGTGTGAGGCGAGTTTGTCTCACTGCAGAAATAACAACACGCGTCAGCAGTCAGACGCAGCCGCTCACCAACAGAAGGCTGAACAATAACCTGTAGAATAATTAGTCATCATGCTAGAGAAGCTTCTCTGTGGTGGACCACACCAGCTTCTGCCACAATAAATAATTATGACAATAAATGACACACAAAGCTGTAAACATTTTAATTTCCTTTTTGAACTATTTCTGTTGAGTTTTAATGTTTAAAAACTGTTAGATTGTTACTGACAGCAGCTACATTTAAGTTTCACTTCCTGTTCTGACTGAACGCTGCTGCAGCATGGAGGTGTAGTTCTCAGTCATCCTGGACATGATCATCCTGAGAGTTTTAGCTGAAAACAGCTGGATGTTTCTGGATATGTTGGAGACATTTAGCCTCTCATCCCAGAGGCTTCTTCCAGACTTTGGTTGTGGTCAGAAACAAACACACTGGTTGTGCTGCAAGTCTTTTTCTTTATTTCTCTAAAACATGTTTTTGTCTAAATGAAGGTGATGTTGTTGTTCATAGAGTTAAAATTCATGTTGCAATGAGAAGACTATTCTGTAAGAACTTTTTTTTATTTGTAAAACAACTTGATGTATTATTTGTGTGTAAGGCATTTTGGTGCATCGCGTTTTGTTTCTCAAGCAGGGAAAGTCTATTTTACTCATTTTCTTCCAAAATGATCACTAAAATAAAATAATGTTCTGAAAGCTACAATTTCCTTGTACATTACTAATAGTTAATTGAATAATTATTGCTGAATAACTGAAAAGAAAAAGTCACATTAGTACTCAGGATTAGTTTCAGGGCCAAGTTGATGTTAAGGACATTCAACCGGAGAGGTCATGAAAGGTTACAGCCCTCTGACTTAAGAGGGTCCACAAACCCATCAGTGAGGAGTCTAAATGCGACCTACCATTCACCTTAAACCACTAAAACAAGTTTATTTCTAATAATCATCTATAAACGAGACCCTTTCCTTAGGAAAATTGAGAAATGACAACTAGATGACATACAAATTAACTTTAATAGAGCCTGACTGAACCATGATGGAGACCATTGAAACAAGTCCCGTTGTCTGGAGCTGATGCAATAAAACTCATCACACGGTTAGAAACCTGACTTCCATCTGATATCCAACATGAATATTTGCCAAACATGAGTTGATCTGTTGGGCTAATTGGTAGCCACTTACCGGCTAACGTGCTAACATGAACTGCTGTTTGCAGAGCGTACAACTTTAGAAAAGACAATGAACACGAGGAGTGGCACTTACAAGCTTCAGCAAACGTACATGGGTGAGCGCTTACCTTAATTAGCAGAGAAACAGGTGACTTTTCTAGTGGGAGCCAACATTTCTTCCAGCACAAACTTCACATGTGTCCGGACTCCTGTGTATACGTGTCTGCAGGTTAGCTCCACGGCTAACGTCAGCTAACCGGCTGCTCAGTAACCACCCGCCGCCTCTAGGTGTCACTAAAGACACCAAATACAACTAACGTTTCTTCAAGCGACTTACTTTGTCCAAGCTTGTACTTATTTTTAAATAACACCGACATATTTGTTTTTGCATCATGAAAGGACTAAAGCAACTTTGGAACACTGAATTATTTTCTCCATTTAAACGTGTTTAATAGACGAGGCTTGTCCTGCTAAAAACACTATAAAACAGATTTGATTTAAAGATATTTGCTCACTTATGTCTTGCGTTTGCATTTTTTGCCCCATTTGTTTCAGATTTATCAGTGATAAGTAAAACAAAATGTAGTTTTCAAATTATTCCTTGTTTTTGGTTATGTAAAATAGTAAATAAATAGAAAAGGCACCTGTTTCCTAGGCAAAACGTGTGAGAGAGAGAGAGAGAGAGAGAGAAAGAGAAAGAGAAAGAGAAAGAGAAAGAGAGAGAGAGAGAGAGAGAGAGAGAGAGAGAGAGAGAGAGAGAGAGAGAGAGAGAGAGAGAGAGAGAGAGAGAGAGAGAGACCCAGGCCCGGGTAAATGCAGAGGGTAGTGTAAGGAATGGATCAAAGAACCGTAATGATGATAGCATAGTTTTCTATGCATTTGAGGCATGGCCTTTTATCAGAAATTATGAGTGAGTCAGTGAATAGAAAATTTGTCATTTAATCCAACATAATTGTGACTGAATTACAATTACTCTCATGGAAATAAATCACCAAACTGACAGACAGGATGTTTCATACAGGTATATATTACAATGTGCCTTGGTATATAATACAGTCAGGTTCATGTTTTCATAAAAATAAGCACTGGAGGAGGAAGTGATACTTGTTGATTTTATTGTAAATTGGACAATATGCACATTATTTAGCGACTCATGTCTTGTTAATGAAGCGTGTTAGGTGGTCAGAACACTCTGCGCTGAGTAGTTCAGATATAGTCGTCAGAAGAAAATTTGAGATCTCACATACAGAACAGAGGAGGGAAGTACCAAAACAGGGACCAAGAACAGTGAGTGGCTGTCAATGACGGCTGATTGTGCCAAAAATACCAGTCAATGAACACTAAATATTCCTTAGAGTGTGTTATTTTTTGTTTTCTGTACTTGACTGCATCCATTAACAGTGAAGTGGAGGGACTTGTTTATTATCTGACCTCTTTTTCTAAATAAAGATAAAAATTCTCCCAAAACTGATTTGTTTTCACCACAATCGCAAATTCAAACCGTTTTTTCATCAGGTCAAACTAAAGGCATGGTCTCGCTCAAACAACCCATCCTGCACATGTTGCATACAGATGTTTAGCTCTCTTTCCTATGTTTTCCAATGGTTCCTTATTTGTATCCCCAAATCTAATCCGGGTAGCTCTGGTACACAGAGGGTTAACGGTGGTTGTAGAGAAAGGAAGTCATCCGGTGTAACGACGTCTGGTTGTGAGACCAAACCTTTCTTTGCCTGTTTTCTCTAATTTTTGTACAAAGACGATACAACTATCCAGTCATGCAACGTTGTTTGGGAGGGGGAGGGGTGGGGTCATCTGTCTGTACTCCCGTCTGCTGTTTAAGCGTTTTGCATCTCCTTTCCAATCTTGTAGCTCAGAATCTTGTTCCAATCAATCTTGGTGCGTGTCACAGGAAGCTGGCGGCGTAAGGCTTTGAAGGTAGTGTCCGACATGGTCTGGTAATTCTCGTTGATGGCCGTCTACAGTGGGGGGAGGAAAGAGTTGGATGTGAAAATGAAAGTGCTGTTATGGAGACGACAATGTGTCAGACACCGGTAGATGTACCTGATAGTCATTCTCTGCAGCCTCCATGATCTTAACAAACTCCTTAGCAGTTGTTGTAGCCTCGTTCTAAAAATAAGGACATCCACGTTTATTTTAGAGCAATAAGAAAGAAAAATTCTGAGTATGACCAAACTCCCTCTGAGCCAGCCTTCGGGTCAGACTGCCCCTGTAACAGCAACGGGCTGGTGCAGGCTCTGGGTCTACTCACAGAAATCGACATGGACTCCTGAACCTCCTTGTGGCTCACCAGCTGAACATTTCCATCCTCATAGTAATGAACCTGCAGACAGAAAAGTTTAGAGTCAGCCTGCTTCTGATACGAGACTCATTTGTTTGATTCATTCCTGTGAGGAACAAAAATGCCCCTAAAACTGTGTGACCGGGTGAGAGGTGCTCTAAACACTGAGCAGAGTGAACTGTGAGCCGGTACAGAACCATCAGACTCTGCGAGTCTTCTCATGAACATCTCTGAAATCAGGTGATGAGAGCTTCACTGACCAAAACTGCTGCAGCACAACAACAACAGAACAAAAGCTCACAAACTTCATTTTATTAAGTGTGTGGGGTCAGCGTCTCCTGTCCTCAGGTCTCCTTTTTGTCATGACTCTGCTGGTCTGGAGCCTCACACAGAACCAAAAGGTACAGCGCCTTTTAGAAGATGCATGAAGTCTCCACACTTTGTTCTATTCTGCACACGTTGTTCCACACGCAACCACCCTCCTGTTCTCACTGAAAGAAGGACGCAGAGTACCTGGATTTTCATGATTCCTGCCACCTGAGTGGTGGAGGGGGAGATGGTAAACTTCCATTCTGATCTCCAGCGTCCATTCCTGTGCAAAGGCACAAACACAAGAGTCTTCAGTCACTGTCCATCTTGTTCAGTCACAACTGTACAAGAAACTCGTTTAAGCCCGCTTGTTTTAATTGGAACGTTTTAACAGTTGTGTTATGTATGGAGTAGGAAACGTTGGTGCACCGAGTCCTGCAGGACTTTCCACACACATTAAATGTAATGTGAAAACAACAGCAGAGTAGTGGCTCTTAAAACTATGTCTGCTTAAACTGTTGCAAACAGCATTACACTGTTCATCAGTCCTGAAGTGGAGGCCATCTACTAGGTGTGAGTGTATTGGCAAGAACCTGGTGACATTTACATCACAATACAGGTGAGACACTACGATGTGGCCACGTTTGCTAACTTTAAGTCTGAATTTAAATGGAAAACTCAGACACAAGACACAGATCTCATTGTTCCATCAGAAGGAAGGTGGTGAAAACTGCTGCCACCTAGCAGTCGGAGTTTAAATTGCATCACACAAAAGAAAAACAGTAAATGATTGCATGAAAATCCTCAAAAACGGATACATGGTTTAAAATATCGATTCAGTATCATAAAACAAAATATCGCAATATTCTCTCACATCAAGCTACTATCTACAGCAGGTAATAATTTACAATCTCTCCCTTCACAGGTAGCCAGGAAATATCAACCTGGAACCTCTTCAAAGAGCTTAAAAATGTTGTTCTAAAGCAGCCATTCATGCTGTTTGCACCCATTAGGGTTAGCTAAACAGAGCTCCTTAAAGCATATGGCTACTTCTAGCTGGGTGTAATTCACATGTGTATTGTTACACCTCTAATTTTTCGGTATTTTTTCCAGCTTAACTCAAATAAAACTTATTCTAACACACCAGCTGGTAAAACTCTCTATGTTACAGGTTTCTGAATGCTATGGACCTTTTGGACGTTTCTCCTGATCACCATAATGAGAAGTGCAGATTAAAAGCAGAACAGGAACCAGACGCGGTGCATAATAACACTCATGGTTTCCTGGTTCTAGGTTCTTGTAAGCAAACATTAACTTCTCCCAGTCTCTGATCAAACACAAAACTTGTTTATACATCTTTATTGCCAGTTTTATTGATCCTCGCTACAAACAATGGTCAAGCTCTGGTGGGATCATTACACCGGACAGTACTTAAGCCAGGTAAAAGCCAGCAGCAAAGAGGATTAATGCTCTTCTTACCCAATTAGATTAAGTGATCAGAGACAGCTCAGGTCCAGCTCCTTAAAGCCTGATCTGGGTTACGGAGTTAAATTAGGATGGTTTAGGGAACAATAAACAGCATCTTTGGGCTTAAAAATATTTGCTAACCTCTCAACTAGTGCTCAGCTTTCATGTCTAAAATGTTCCCAAAGACAGAGAAATAACAGCCAATTGTGACTGACCAGAAATTTTTGGGTTGAAACTGATGGCACTCGATGCACACGATGATGGTTTGATGTCCGTCGATGGTTTTCCCGTAAATCTGGAAGAGAAAAAGAACCTAGCTTAGGTGTGAAGTAGTTAAAAGTACCGGGATTACGGGTACTGCACTGAAAAAACTGATTTTTGTTATGTTAAGCATCACCCAATAAATTCATTTAAAATGTGACTACATACGTTAAAGACTGAAATAAAGAAAAATGAGTTCAATCTACCTATTTTATTTAATTAACAAATAGAACACTTGTACATGTTGGCCAGAGTGTGTTTACACCCTAACCCCAACCCTGGCCTTCCAACTCAAGTATCCATATAGTTAGTTACACACACACTTAACTTTGAAGAGGAATATTGCAGTATTTCTAAAAAGAAATCTTGAGCAACAGTGAACGCAAGTTCAGTTCAGCTTTTGTAAAAAGTAAATATGCTACTTTTACTGCTCTTAGTTGAATAAATTCTGATTTATACTGGTATTGCATCAGGCAGCAGAAGGTAAAGCAGGCGGTCCAGTAAGCAGAGGGTTGTAGGATCAATCTCAGCTTTTGTATGTTTGTGCTATTTATTTTATAATTTTCTAGCTTAGAAAATTGGAAACTATTTACCAAGTGTCCTTCAGGTGTTTCTCAACTTCGAATATAAGCTACAAACATATATGGCGTATAAATTAACTAAGCAAATTGTTACCTCAATTTTATTGGGTAGTTTCCATACATAACTTTTTATAGTATGAGTTTAATAAGAATAAACGGTGTGCATAACTGTGATCAGTGGTCACATAGCTTCACAGTGATGTCATACTTAAGCTAACATCAGATACGAGGCAGCAAGCTAGAAAACTAAAAATACCAAAACATTATAGGTTAGAAGCGAAATCCAAACAAACTTCTCTACAGAGGTAACTGTAGCTGAATGTTCACATCTTCATACTAGGGCTGCAACAACGAATCGATAAATTCGATGAAAATCGATTACTAAAAGCGTTGGCAACAAATTGCGTCATCGATTCGTTGTGTCGCACAACTCTTCCAAAAGCGCCCCCCCCCCCTTCCCGCCCGCCGTTGCGCGCAGACCAGAACAAGTCAGATCAGCGCGAGGGAGAGCCACAGATCAGCGCGAGGGAGAGCCGGCAGATCAGCGCAAGGGAGAGCCGGCAGATCAGCGCGAGGGAGAGCCGGCAGACTTGCGCTGCTGCGAACCGGTTCCGCATTGTTGCGCAGCGATCCAGGCAGCTGCTTCCAGTGCACGGTCCATTCTCAAAGTGGCGCAACCAAAAAACTATAATTAGCACACGATCGTTCATGTCCGCACATGTTCTCTATTTTCTGTCTTGTGCCTGAAGCTCGCTACTGCGGAGCTCATCACCTGTGCTGTGGTGATGTCACCAAACGCAGCATCGAAAACGCGCTCTGCGCTTTTCGGTCAGGAGATCCCTTTGATCTGCTCAAAAGTAACTGATGAGGTGAAAAGGTAAGAATCCAGGCGACAGATTTTCTGGAGAATTATGAGGAGATGCAGGAAGATTAGAGACAGACAGGACAGGAAAATAGTTAAATAAAAACAAGAAAACAAAACAAAGTGTTCAAAAGTCAAATGAAGGTAAACTACACGTTTTTACCAGTAAAAAACAATAAGTTATACACATGTTATATTTATACATCTGATACAATTCAGATCACCTTCAAAACTCAGTCACACACCCAGGGCCGTTTCAAGACATTTTGGGGGCCAAGGCAAAATGCCCCCCCCCACCCCCCACCCCCCCATAACTGGGCTCCCCAGAAGCCTCTGTGTAATTCATACCCTCTCCAGTAGTGGTAGTTATACGGTGTTTATAAAAGCCCTCAGACATTACTGACATGTTCTAATATTATCAGATGAAAAACTAAATTATCAGACATGCTGTCTCATCTGCTTCTTTTCTACTTGCAAAAAGTAACAAAACCATCTGAAAGCCACTATTTGTGGATTCTCTGAAAGTTTCCATGGAGTGTGTGACAACTTATTTTTTCATTGACCCTATCGTCTAATCTCACAGCTGAAACAAGCATCCTTAATAATCTGTGCACAGGAAGCGTACCGATGCTGTAGTAAAACAAAAGGTATAATAATTTATTATTAATAAAACCTTGTTGCAGCACTAAAGCAGAAAAATTAGATTTTGCATTAAATATGCAAAATATTTACATATGAATTGTTTTAGAGCCCTTTAATTGGCAGAATCTGATAATTTAGTTCTTACAAAAAATGGGTCCCAACATGGTTTGTGTGGCGTTGCCATAGTGTGACGTCATAGGCACAGATTCCCTGTCCTCTTGTTTGGAAATGGAAATATGATCACCCTACATTAAACAAACTGTCCACCCGGGCTTTTGCACTGCACAGAGACGCTTCGCTGCCTATGACTGAACGTCAGTTGAGTCAATCTCATGCAGACTGACCAATGAAGAGAGGGCCTCAAGTTAAGACCCTCTCCTCATTGGTCAGTCCACACGAGGTGGGTCAAAGGTTACTCTGGGCGGGTTACGTGTTGTCAGGCATTCAAGTATTGAGTATATTTACTGCATATTACAGTAAAATATTCTGTATGTGACCACATTATGGTGATCCTCGGGTCGTGATGATGGAGCCCTTGAATATTGTTGCCCAGGGTACAACAAAGTGTTAATCTGGCCCTGGTTCCGCCGTCACATTCCCGCAGAAACTGGTTGATCACACCGGAGCCAGACTACTAGCATGTGGTTTTACAACCACAATGTCCTCAGAAGCAAAAACGCTTTTAAAAGGGAGGGAGGAGTCCTAACTGTTGCTGCAGGCGTGTTGTGTGAGAGTGCAGTTATATACTGGTTAATATATTTTTGGGTTCAGTTGCTTTCATGTGGCCTAATGTGAGTCTATTTGGGATCATTGGAATGATCAGCAGCATTTCTTGATGTGACTTTATGGCAGTTGCCCAGGGCATCATCGCAAGGAGGATGGCATTCATTTACTTTTGTTTTATTTGGTATTTTTTCAGTCATTTTTGGAAATAGTGATCAATTTTGATTAATTCACAGCCTATGTTTAATTACATTTAAAATAAATGTCAACAGATGAGATCAAACAAAACAGATGAGAATTGCCCTTAAGCTTTTTAACTTGGACCAAGCATTTTAGGTCACAGATAGATGTAGCTTAGGGTCTCTGTCTATACACCTTATAAGACAATTTAGGTGATGGCATGTTGTTTTTCTGCTATTGAACTGTTTTCTAATAATGTTGTGTTAAATAAAGTGAAGGAAGGAGAGAAATAACGTTTCCCTAGCAGTTTTTAAAAATTTCCCCATGTAATCCGATTAATCGTGTCGAGACCCCATCCGATTAATCGATTATCCAAATAATCGTTTGTTGCAGCCCTACTTCATACAAACAGATGGTTCTGCTCCGAACGGTGTTCACAACACAGATGATGGGCATTTACTAATGAACACAGCTCCAGTTTAAACGTACGGTGCACACTCCACTGGGATAGTGCTCCTTAACGTAGGCTCTCACGGCCGAGTCCACAGCACTCCTCCAGCCTTCAATGGAGCCGTCAACATCATGAGGTCGTGGGTCGTTGGCCTCCTTCCTCAGGTGGTCAAACTTGAAGGAGATCTTGTTCTTTGGGTCCAGGACTCGGCCATTCCCAAGGTCACCATGCTCTGTGATTAAGACCTAGGATGTGGAGTGGAGGCCCATAAGGACAAAAAATAAAGGGAGGAGAAGAGTGACAGGCATTTAGTGCAATGTATAAAGGAAATAATCATTAGGAAAAATAAGAAACAAGGCAACATAAATGAAAAGAGTATGGAAACTGGAGCATTAGCCTGAACTTTCCAGCTCCAGCCATAAACACCGGGCTCAGCCGGCTTGGTGTCAGACTGGGGAGTGACTCGGGAACACAGGGACATGATGACATCTTTACATAAGCTAGTGCAATCATTACTGAGCCTAACACACAGCCACGTTCAGCCCTCACAGGGACGCACCAGCGTGACATAAATAACTAAAACACAGACGGATCACGTCAGCACACTTTAATCATCCAGTAAAGAAGATGTGCAAAACTACAAGTTTTATTGTCACGAAAGGAAACAAGCATCTTTCATGTCTCTTCTAATCTTTGTAGGCAAATTACTGATGATCGATGAGTTCTCTCATGATAGCAATCCTCTAGAGAGGGCAGAGCTCTCACGTCTTTGACAAATCTAATTCAAGCACTTTTCAAGGTGAGTTTAACATTTTCCTGACCCTTAAACTGATAATTCACCCATACGTGAACAGTTTCATCTTACATGATCAAAATCATTATTTCACTTTCTTGGCTTCATTGTTTTCACAACTGTATTGGCTATTTGAAGCGTCAATCCACTATGTAAACTGGTTCCCCCTCACACATAATAGAGGACAGTACTTCTGACCTGTCAGCCAATAGCAGATGAGGGGGTGTGATTCTGTAAGATGTTACTCAAATGTTTGAAGACAACATCTGGATTAGAGCTGAAACAACTAATCGATTTAATCGATTATAATCGATTATTAAAATAGTTAACAACTTTTTTAGTCATCGATTAGTTGTTTAATAATCATATTTTACCGCATAAAGTCTATTTTTTACCACAATCTGACATCGGTTACAATCTGTTAAATTTGCCGCCAGTGTGTGGCAGTAATGAGCTCCACCAGTGGAGCCGTAGAAGAAGAAATTAGCCAATAAGTGCCCTCGGTTTTCATGACGTATCACGTTACTGACGCTCATCTTGCTGTGAGAGATGGCGGATCAACAAGAAATACGGAAGAAAAATAGAAGCGACAAAGCAAGAGAAACCCCGGACAAAAACCTCACGAGTATGGGAGCACTTCACTAGATGCCTTGAAAAGACCGGTGACCTGCAAAATATGCAAAAACCATCTAGCATGGCACGACGGAAGCACGACGTCCCTAAGTGAACATTTGAGATGAAAACGTGGGGGCTGATGCAGCAGAGGAATGTCCGGTAAGTAACAGAAAATAAACAAGCTAACGCAGATCACATTTGGGACTAAGTGTTAGCTGAGTTCGTTATAGTGGATGTTAAACATGTTTTTTTTGCCGCGTCAGTCTACGGTGTTCTACTTCTGATTGACTAGATGCAATCGTGAATCTCCTCTGTTGTGAATCATGTGCTTGCCAAATTTAGCACGTCTGTTTATAAGAATGTTCTCGTTAAGAGAAAAACGGCACAAACCCATAACTGTGTTCCTCATTCAAAAAAGGACAACTCCGCGGAGAAAAATATACAGACGAGCTGTGTCCAGGTGAATATAACGCGGCATAGTTGTACGCTTTCAATTTTTAAATACAGGAGAAATTCAGAAAGTCCTTATTTAACCATTAAAAGGCTGTTTTACTATCTAACGCTGTAAAACGCCTCAACACATTTTTGTCAAAATAAATGATCACTGTATATTGTTAATTAATTCAAATAATGTAATATTGATTTAGTGTTGTAGTGTGTGTGCTGCTTTATTTTATATGTGTACTTAATTCAGTTTATTTGTGTTTCTTATGCAGAAAAAAACAAGCAACGATGGACAACTACATGGGAAACAAGGCACTCACCCCCAGCAATGCATACCACTTACAAACTCTATTCCAGATTGTACATTATTTTTTATGGAATTTACCTCTTATATTTTGATACCAAAAAATTATTCTGGACTGATATTTTGCACTGTTTAGCTCATTTTACACTGCTGACTGTGTTCATGTGCAATAAAATAGATTGCAGTCAACTGCACAATTCTCTTATGTTTTTCTTTTTCTTAACTGAAATGTATTCATCACTTGTATAGGTTAAATAGCTAAACAATAAAAAACCGATTAATCGATTAATCGAAAAAATAATCGACAGATTAATCGATTATGAAAATAATCGTTAGTTGCAGCCCTAATCTGGATGCTAACGGGAATTATGGGAGATGAATCTGAGGGAATTTTTAATGTTTTCTGTGGTTTGTCACGTGGGATTGTGAATGTAAGACTTGTGGACCAACTACTGGATTGGAAATTTTTTACTGGATTTTTGTTGGAAATGGCTTTATTTTGTCAATGATATGAGGCTTTGAACTGGGAGTTAGACATTTAAGTGGTTTGACAAAAGTGCTTACTGTGTTTACAGTTATGGTGATTGCCATATGTCAATGGAATCACAAAAATCATAGCTTTCAAATTATGTGTAGTGTGTAAGTGTGCATTGAACAAACGTTGTGAAAAGATGCAGATTTGTCTGCAAAGTCCCATCCAGGACAATGACTCAGAGGCATTAAAAACTGATGGAAGGGCTTGGCCTACTGCCAGTGGTCAAGTAATGGGTCCAATAGCCCAACCTTAGTATGAACGACTCGTTAGATCTGAGTTTCCATCATCAACTTTTTAAAATTTTTTCCCTCCACACTTACAGAGTATTTAAGAAAACAATCCGACTACAACTCCTGTCTCTCTGGAAGACATTTAATCATTTGGACAAACAAAAACTAATCATTGCTTTAGAATTGCACAGTCACAGAATAACAGCAACACTAAATGTAGGAAAGTTTACCACTGTAACCATTAAAACCAGTAAAGGATACATTACTAGTGCATAAAACATTAACTAACTACCTTCAACCCCACTCTAACTTGTGCAGCTCTATTTATTTCTAGGAATGACACAAGAACTCACCTGTTCTTCGTAGCCCTCAATTTTCACAGGGGTAAACTGGTCCAAGTTATACTGTGCAAATGCACTGTGGAGAGAAACGCCAGATTACTACACAACCTTAAGTTACACCCCAAAAACACTCATTTAAGGATCAATTTTAATGCTCCTGTCTAGACGGCGCGTGCACGCACACAAAACACAACCACTCAAAGTTCAAGTGCTTCATGTTGATCATCTCTGGGTGATCTAGACCTGAACACTTGAGGAGCTAACAGGCATAACACAGGGTATGTCTAGTGCATCATGTCTACTGAATAAGGGGTGGGTTGGAGTTAGAGATGGGAGGTTGAGAATGTCCTGGGGCTACCCTGACTCTCCATAAGCAATTGTGGCCAAACAGCGTTGACTCAGATTGTGTTGACATCATCTGGACAACACTGAGTCTACAGAAGTCTAAAGAAGCTAGACCTGTTTGATTAAACAGCATGAGAAGAGACTTACTGTGCTGCACCCTCCCTGAGAAGATTGTCATTGTTGAGCAGCAATCGCACATCTGAGGAGAGAAAAGGTGGGACTGTTAGCAGAAAAACAATGGTACCGTAGATCAGCACAAAAACCCTGATAGATTCGGTCAGCCTGGGCAACCGTCTTTAGCCTCCTTCAAACCAGACACCTAAAGGCATTCTGGGTCAACGCAAACAACAGAGCAGATCCCACTGCTAAGGACACATTCATTCAATGGGATCTGGGACATGTGTCCACATCCTTTTAGTAGTCTGAGTGAACATTGTCCTGAGAAACCTCTGTCTGTTGATGCCTTTAGCAGGCACATCAGTAGGACATGTTTGGGGATAACATGCTAGCTCCACACAGATAAGCCACTGCCAAGATTTGAACCTGCGGCCGTCTTGCTGTGATACACCAGTGTCACAACTGTTTCACCATGCAGCCCAATTGAAATCACTACTTCTTTTTTGGAAATATGGACTTAATTAACTGGTCATTCAACGCGATTGATAAGATTTTTTCTACGATGAGAACGGAGCTCCCACCTGTCCCGAGGGGACATTCGCAGCGGGATATGCACTCGATTCTTGGGAGGTCTGGCGAATTGTGTGCCTCTCTCAGTTGTCCATCGAGGACGTAGAAGATTTGTGGATATTCGGCCTGATGATCACTGGATTTCTTCTGACTGGAGTGGGAGGATATCTGGTTTTCTGGAAAATTGGGAAGACGGGAGCGATTGGAGTGCGACCCGCACCCACGGAATGTGCCGCCTGGGCGGTGACTTCACAGACTGGGACGTTACTCGAGGTGAACCGTAAGCTGGACAATGTCCTCGCGGCGTTGCCTGTGTTAGTGCGCAAGATGGATGTCATCTCGGAGAGGGTCGCCGGACAGTGTGGGGATGTTTAGAACGCATAAATTGGCTTCACTGGTAGACATGAATGACCACTTAATAGACTCCAAGGCAGAGAGGAAAATTATCTCTGCCTGCCCTAAACAAAGTCTTGCTTATCCTTATCTGATGCCAAGCAGCCTCCAAGGCTGCCTTCAACTCACCCCCATGAAAGGAGGAATGCTGACAGATGCTGTGTCCCGACCTTCCCCCCCCCTGCCTTCAGATTGTGACTTCGGCTTCGAGGTCATCGACTGGAGGAACTCAATGCGCTCTTTGTTCCTCATTTCTCCCTCCCACCTGTCGACTGCAGCTGGTGAAGCGCCGTAATGGCAGCTCCCGTTGGAGGATTCAGGATCCCGCCCAACCCCGCCTCCCCATCGGACTCTGATGTGTATCTGTGATGTTCGTGCTTCTATGTTGAGGGTTTCTTTTTTTTTGTATAATAGAGTTACTCCCCGCTGGGTCTAACTCTGCTATGCCTTTTTTTACCTTACCCCAATTATCCTCATGTAATGAGCGCCGTTATGGCCGCTCTCGTAACTGCCTGTACCTGTTTTTGTCTACATGTGTGTGTTTACCCTTGGTCAGGTTGTGTTCGCGGAGTCAAGTTCCTATGCTCTGGGTCTCTGGAGCGCTGGCAATAAAGCTGATTCTGATACTGAATTCAGAGGAAACTCACCATTGAAAACTTCATTGAACTCTCCTGGCGGGGCATGGATGACAAAGTTGGCTGCTATGCGTACCTGCACACAAACACAAAGTTCAGTTTGAAATTAGGGGTTACAGGTCAGACGTGACGACGTTAATTCTGCAGAAATATCCTGACAATTGCTGCCATTTGTGCTGCTGGTGAATCAGTTAAAACTGCCACACAAAACTCATGGTGATGTGAAGATAGCAGAGTGTGTGAACCACCATTCAGTTTGTGAGTTAAGGTCAGGTTCCCAGTGTGGGTCATGGAGCACAGAGTTAAAAGTCTTAAGATGATTTACTTCTGTTCATTAAGCTTCAAAGCTAACTCTGTTTTTATAGTTCATCCAGCAATCTGTGGGTCTAGTGTCTGCCGATGTAGTGAGTCAGAGCACCATGTAGACCTGCCTCCACTCTGATAGACATTTCAAACACTGTTTACCAACTGCATCACCAGCAGGTTCACAGGGGCATTGAATGGTTACTGATCAGAATTGGATTAAAAAAATCCCCAAACACCAACATCCATTTTGAAATGCTGCGGTTTGTAGATAAACGGGCATCTGACACAGAAACACAACAGAAACGGGATCAAAATGTAAAGTGAGATATGTAATGTGACATGATTCTGCCTTACTTCTCTGGATTTAGTAAACCAAAACTTGTTTACTAATTATTTTAAATAACCAGTTCAAAAGTATAGCCAGAAGCAGCCCTGTTCTACATCCAGAAACATGAAATGTCATTGATTCTAGAAACATTTTGATATTATAACCGATGTCAAAAAATCAAAACATATCCAAATAAAACTAGAAAAATGCTGGATAGCTTAAACTGTTAGCTGAATCAGCTTAATAGCTGAAATGAAGCTGAAAGTAAGCAAAACTGTCAAAATGAGCTGAATGTATTTAAAGATTTAGAAGCAAAAATCACCAACAAGTGTAATAAAGCTCAGGAAATAGGTGAAGAATGGACACAAAAAATGCTAAACAGCAGAAAATTTAAATCTTTGAACATTTATTAAAAACTCGAAATGTGAAATGTTAAACAGCTGGCATTTGAATGAGAATAGTTTAATGCTGAACTGTGAATTTAGAAATATTTGCTGATATCTGAAACTGATAGATTAACATATGTTCAGACTTGATATGGGATGGATGAATGGTTGGATGAATGAAATTATGGGTGGATTGTTGGATGGATGTTAGATGGTTTATTGGATGGATGGATGGATGGATGGATGGATAGATAGAAGCATGTATGGATTTATATGTGGATGGATGGATTCCTTAGGTCAAGCCGATCGATTTGATGTCTGACATGCGTGGGTGTGTAATTCCATTTAGCCAGAAGATGATTGACCTCTCTCAACCAATCAGGGAGCTGGGAGAGAGCAGGGCACTTTCCCACCTTCTGACGGCCAATCAAATTTAACTTGTTTCTAGTTTTAAGTACAGATAGTTCAAAAAGATCAAAAACAGGGGTCTGTTATTGGCCCAATATTCAGCTTTTTATATTCATTCCTATGAGACTTGGTTAAAGTGATTTGTAGTTCATTGTGTTGCCATGGTAACAGATGACAGGAGTGTGCATTAATAAAGCAATGTACAATGTCACATGACTCAAACTTTGAATAACATTTCTACATTAAAGGATGTTGATACAATTGTTTCTAAAATGTTGTTAAATGTTGTTGCTAAGCGCATTACCATGGTAACGCTGAACACAATATCAAGTTAATACAATACTCCTAGGACCAAGCAGGCTGAATCAATGTATCATATGTGAGGGTACATATTTCCTTTTAGGCAGAAGACGATTGAAAACTCTCAGCCAATGAGAGAGCAGCGAAGGAGGAGGGGGCGGTGCCTGCCTTCTGACGTGTTAAAATGTCAGCTATGCTGCTAGTTTTAAGTGTATAGAGCTCAGAAAGATAAGAAACAGCAGTATGTTATAGGCTCAAAATTAGGCTTTTCACATTCATTTCATTGAGACTTTTTTGGGGATATACTTATGCACTTGTGTTACCATGGTAACAGATAACGCATTTAAAATTGAATAGAAGATTCCTGAGACCAAGCTGGTCGATTTGATGTATCAAATGTGTGGGTGCTCCTGCTTGGACAAAAAATGGTTGAGCACTCTCAACCAATCAGAGAGCAGCACTGTTTTCCCGCCTTTTCCCCGGCTGTTGAGAGGCGCTGTACTCCTGCCCTTCAGAAGTGAAATTGGACCTGTCAAACGTCTCATCGCCATTCAAAAACTGCTGCACCTATTGGAAAAATTCTAAAAGCGTGAGCGGCAAAAAGGCTTTGATGGTCATCTGTGTGAATTCTTATGTGCCTATCATGAACTGTCTAGAAGCTATGACGAGAACATTTTAGCTGTCTGAAGCCGATCGGAGGAGAAAATCTGTTCCTTTAACATGGGTCTCAATGAGACAGAATCAGGGTCTCTCCTCCTTCTGAGGTTTGTAGAGAACGAAATGAAACCCATTCTGAAAAGCAGACTAATTTCTACTTTTTGAGATATAATTTGTTTCGGTACTGGGTGTTGGAAAGAGTTGTTTCCAGAAAATGTGATGGTCAAAAGTTAGAGTACGGAATTTTCAGTTTAGAGTGGGGAGAGACGTTTTTTTAAATTTTGAATATTCTCAAAGAAATGAACCGTACGACCACAATGTTTGGAGTACATTCATGAATTATAACTCAAAACGAAGGTATATTCGTAAGCTGTAAGCCAGCGTGCGTCTCTTTTCAATCAAACCTACGGTTCTCTCGGGACAATGTCAGAAATGGAGCAAGGGAGGGTCACCGCTCCCATCTTTCCCCATTATAATTTTTGTGATTTTTTCTGAAAATCTCAAGCTGTACCTCAACTTCTACCTGCGATTTTAGAAAACTGTAATAGATATCAAAAAGAGTTTTGAACCAGTAATAGCTGAAAGTCTTGAGTTTGTTGAAACTTGAATGAAGTCTCTAGGTTAAAGTTAACCTATAAGAGTAAGAGCTCAAAAAAGTAATAGGATTTGGCTGAAAATTGAGCAATCCCATTCATTTCAATAGGACCAAAAATCGCAGAAAAAGCTGAATATCTCAAAAAGTATAAAATATTTTAAAACCAAACGTCAATGCCGGTATAAGCTGAACAAGCTGAACGTTTTGATACCAAAATTGTGTAAATAGTTTTAGAATTGTGGAAGTAGTTAAATGCCACAAAACGTACGGAAGCAGAATAATAAACTAATAACTAACTATAAAGAGAAACAGGATCACTATAAGCATTCAAACAACTAAAGCATTCAAACAACTAGTTGTTTCATCCCAGAGCAACGGTGCAGATGAGTGACATATTTGCACCCTGCAGCCAACAGAGGGTGTGAAGTGACTGTGAGGAGTCTGGAGGGTGGAGTACATTGCTCACCGTCTCTGTCAGCCTCCGGCACAAACCAGCAGTCGTTTCTTCCTGACTTCACTTCTGTTCCTCTGGTGCACCACACAGCACTTCCTGTTTCCAGGTTGCATGTCTGACAGCGAAACAACTGCCCCTCCCTCCCCCTCTTGCTTTATATCCATATAAGGTCATAAAAATGTGCTGAGGCCTCTCTACACAGTTTCTAGCCTTACATCTAGAGCCGTCTGACTCTAGCATTAGGCGGGTATGGTGGATCAGCATGAGCCCTATGGTCTTGTAAACAAGTGTTTCAGGAAAGGTGCTCACCTTTAGGTGTGTGCATGTGTGTCTGTCTCATGGGTCCTTATTAGCCGAGAGTGGATATACAAGTGCTGTGGTACACTCAGAGCTGCAGATTGATTTTTGCTAATGAGCAATGCTTAGAGAAAGCCCTCAGGAAGGTGTGTGTGTGTGTGTGTGTGTGTGTGTGTGTGTGTGTGTGTGTGTGTGTGTGTGTGTGTGTGTGTGTGTGTGTGTGTGTGTGTGTGTGTGTGTGTGTGTGTGTGTGTATGTATCATTGTTTAGTCATTTTAGAGGAACTCCTGCTGTGGTATTATGATTCACTTACAATGAACAAGTCTAATCTACAGTAAAAACTGCGTGTGTGTTTATGACTTGAATCCCAGAGGAAGAGTGACTTGTACCAGGTCCCTCTCAATACTCTGGATGCATTAAAAAACTCTGATCTACAAATCTGTTTTATATTTAAAGGTGCATTACGTAGAAATGATGTAAAATGACATCCTGTGGTAAAATGTGGTTACTGCAACCACTGGAGCTTTTGCCGGCAGTCGTTAAATTATAATCGCCGGCGCTGCAGTATTAGCTCACAGGAGACACGGCAACCCCACATTATCTGACGGTAAACAGTAGTTACGCCCCTCCTTCCTTTGAAAGGAGAAAAACTGACAATCCCCGCAGCCAGCTGGATATGAAATATGTTTCAATATAACCTTGCTTCCAAAATGACTGAAACAGACTCTTTTGGGAGTTGCTCACTGTAAAATTCTCACTATATTCTTCCATACTGCACCTTTAACTGACAACTAAACATGTTGTCATGTACCAAAAATTCCCTTTAGTTACTTTGTCTGGGAAGAAAAACTCAGTGAACCACATCAGACTAGATCTTATTCTATTCTTATGCTACACAGCCACAATATAGTTGAAGCTAAACAGTGGCCTGAGAATTTTCTCCAAATGCTTCAGACCGAAGACATGTCTAGCTGCACAGCGAGCAGTAGGCAGCCTGTCTCTCCTTCTCAGATGATTGTGCTGTTGTGGTGAGACAAAGGAACCTCAGACAGAACAAAGCTATTCTTCAGGTTTGTTAGCGTGAAAAACTCCAAGGCTTTAGACTCGGATAAAAGTGTGTTCCTGTAGAAAACTAGCAGAGCTGATTATTGACTAGAGCCGGACTTGATTAGAGACTAGAGGTGTGGAGAAAAATTGTTATTTCAAATGAGAATCTCAAAAAAATTGTCGACAATTGATAAACGCTTATTATCATCTAATCTGATGCCTATTGGTGACAGCCCAGCTGTTGGTACAATAGAATAGATCCTCCCAATTTTATAGCCCAGCTCTAGCACAACATTTG